ATACAGCTATTTCAGTAAACAACCTAACAAAATATGAATGGCATTGCTCCTGTCCTTGAGAATTGATTATCCTTTAAGATACAAAAGCGCATACTGATGAACAATGAAATGTCTAATTTCTTATATCCATTTAAAGAGAACACCGAAAAAAATCCAAAGGTATTCGCAGCCAATAGAATACACATCTGTGAGCATACTTGCACGCGATTATCCATTTACATTTGTATCATACCAAGATTAATCCATACCTCACTTCGGGGTTGGTTACGATGTTTCGTACCAGTTGGAACCCGCAAATACCAACAGCAGTGCCAACAGCAAAAAAGAGAGGATAGACCTGCAAAATGAACAAAGTTGGTAAATTTAGACCTTATATTTCGATTCAGCGATCATTAAACAAGCTCAAGCAACACCGAGTTTGATATATAATGCGTGCAAAGACTCGTGTATTTGTGCAAAAATATTAAATGTAATTGTTTTACATTAGGAAGAAGAACATGTGCTTAATAAGCAAGAATAGGAGTAAATTAAGGCTATTATGCATTAACCGAAAAACTAAAAGAATTATAGCAACTAGCCAGGAGAGTGATTCCATAACCTTTTAATCTGAATGACGAACATTGTTTAAATTTTGCAAATAGAAAGAAATATATGTAGTAGCCAAAGAGAGGAATTGGACTATTAAAGGGTAAAAGCAAAGACCGTTAAAAATACTTCACTTATATCATTTTTCCATAGGAAAAAGAAACTACAATTTAACTGCACTAAAATTGGCTAATCTAATCATTTGAAAGTAAGGGCCCGTTTGGTTGTATGTTTTTACCATGTAAAATGATGGAAAGTGTAAAAAAGTGGGTCCCAATGTCAGCTTTCATCACTTTCAATTGTTTGTTTGTAATTGTGAAAATAGTGTAAAGTGGTTTCATATGCTGATGTGGCTTGTAAAGTGATTTCATAAAAAAAAGACATGATTTTAGGAGAAAGCTGACATTGAAGTCAGGAAAAAGTAATTTCAACCACTATGATCACTTGAGTATGGACCACTTTTTATACTTTCCAAACAAACAATTAAAGTTTTATTTTGCAAACCAAACAAGTGTTTTATGATTCCAATGGAATAAAAAACAAACAAAGAAAAGTGTAAAAGTGAAAATGATGAGGTGGATAACAACTTTCCAGAGGTGGATAACAACTTTCCAAGTTGTGTCATAAATACACAACTTTACCAACAACAACCAAACAGCCCCTAAGGGTATTTTGCAATAAAACATTTTTCAAAAGGGGAGTCATGATTAAGCATGAGAATTTTTAACGTTTATTGTATTCAACAAAAGGCAAGATTTACTATTATTATTATTATTATTATTATATACACAATATATTATAGATTAAGAGTTCTTTTTAAGTAAAAAAAACATAATCCGATCGCAAAAAAAAGAGACCAAGAAATCTCAAGCCACAAAGCCCATGATTCTACTGTCATTCGAGGACTACTTTGATTCTAAACGCAAACAATAATCTTAGGATTTATATCGTATAGATCCGTAGACTCCAAGGTTACTCATGTAATTACACCATACTTCAGGCTATCCGAAA